AATTCATTTCTATTATTGAAACCAAAACGACAGATTGGATTGAAAGTAAAAAAGCTCTTCTAAAAATTTTTAGTATGATAGGTAAACCAAAAACAATTAAAATGGATCAAGATCCTGGCCTAATATCTAAATCATTACAAAATTGGTTAAAAAAGGAAAATATCAATATTGAAATAACAACTAGCAAGAATGGTATAGCCGACATAGAAAGGGTCCATAAAACAATGAATGAAAAGCTTAGAATTATCAATACACTTACAGACGCAGAAGATAAATTAATGAATATAGAAAAAGCAACATACGTTTATAATCATGAAATAACCCATGATGCCACAGGTAAAACTCCTGCCGAAATATTTCTTTATGGCATAAAACCGAACAAAAATATACAAAAACGGAAAGAATACAAGATAGATAAAATTAATAAAAACCGCGAGGAACATGAAATAGATTTGGAATATACTAAAGTTGAAAAAGAAATGAAACGAAAAGCTAAATTAGTAAACCCATTCAAAAAGACAGGAGCATTAGAACAAAAAGATGAAAAGCACTGGCAAGAAACTAATAGGGGTCATAAAGTAATAAAACACAGAAGTAAATTCAAAAAGCTAAAATGCATAATCTTTCTCATCATTCCAGGGAGACTGACAGTACTAACTCTGATACTGAAATTGATCATGATACTGACATGGACGAAAATACCATTGATAACAGCACAACAAATTAGCATTACACCCATTACTTCGAACAACGGTTATTTACTTCTGAACACAGGGACTATAAAAATACCTCTAAATTATGAACACCATATGATTAAAATAAATCAAACTAAAATATTTGAAACATATCAAGATTTTATAAAATACGAAAACCAATTTAAACACGTACCGGACATTGCTTTAACATTGAAACAATTAAAACATGAAATCAAGGGAATTACTTCGTCACAAAGACAAAAACGGGGATTAATCAACTTTGTAGGAATAGCTTACAAATATCTATTTGGAACATTAACTGAAGATGATAAAAAGGAGTTGGAAGATAAGCTAGAAAACTTACAGGAAAAAATAATTGAAAACAAAGAATTTAATGACATAATTCAAATAATAAATGAGCAATCCAAACATATAAACAGACTCGTAAGAGATGAAGAAGAGGAAGATGCTTTGAACATTTTTAGATACTCCCTAAATATATTTCTAGAATACATTGAGGATTTACAAATGAGTTTACAATTAACAAGAGTAGGAATATTTAATCCTAAAATATTAAAACATGAAGAATTAGAGAACATAAACGAAGAAAAATTACTATCAATCAAAACTTCAGCTTGGTTAAGCAGTCAAACTAAAGACACTTTTATTCTAGCCCATATACCCACTTCATTTAAAGAAACACAAAAATATAGAATTATAAAATACCCAGATAATATCGGACGACAAATTGACATTAATGACAATTATGAATATTTTATAAACGACGAAAAAAAGGTATTTTACTTGGAAAATTCACCAAATTCATTAACAACTATATTAGACCAAAAATTTATAATCATGGATCAATGTATCTCTCAAATCCTTACTAATCAATTAGCAAAATGTCAACACACTTTTGTATCAGAAAATGAATCTGTAAAATACATTGAACCTAACATCATTATTACTTATAATTTAAGTGAAACACAAATTAAGCAAGATTGCGAAATGTTCAACAAAAAAATTCAGGGTAACAATCTAATACAATTAAGTCAATGCTCCTTAGAAATAAGAGATATAAAATTTACAACTTCAAAGAATATAAATGAATATAAAATTATATTATCCAGCACTAATGTTACTTTATATGAACCAATACGATTGTTAAAACTTAAAAATTCTATTACCCATCAACAAAAACAAGAATCAATCTATAAGTGGGTTGTTTTTACGATATTAATAATTATACTTTTAAGCATCACAACTTACATCATATTTACCTATAGGCGCCTAGCCAACAAAAAAGAAATTTTGTTTAAATTCAACAAGGATGTTGAATCTTCTAAAGGAGGGGCGAGTGACGTATACGCAAATACCCTAGCTACCAAACCCAACATACAACCTGTATATCCAGAGATACCCATTATTCCAATTGTCAATAACATAAGCCCAGAGCCTACTATTGCAGTTATTCAAATCAATCCAACATAAACATTTAACAATTGTCAATAACATAAGTCCAGAGCCTACTATTACAGTTATTCAAATCAATCCAACATAAACATTTAACCCCTCAGACATAAATCTTTCCCACGCCTTCGATCGGCGGCATCCGAATTATAAACACTTCACACGCCTTTATCGACGACGGCAGACATAAACAATATTCAGACCTTTAAACAAAGGGTCCAGCCTGAGAACCCATTTGTCAGCATAAAAGCTTTGGCCAATCCAAATTAATTAAACAAAAGATGCAGCCTAGAAACCAACCCATCAGGCCACAGTTTTGACCAATCAAAATTATCTAATCAAAGTCCACTTTCGCTGCTCACGCGCTGTCACCGATAGAAGCCATAGTTATAAGAATAATGCATTTTGTAAAATCAGTTTAAGATTGGGGATCTAACTAAAATTTAAAAAAAAAAATTTTTTTAATATTAAAAAAAAAAAATTTAAATGGATCAACTTGAAAGAACTTTACCAATAAAGACTCCGCTATATATTAAAATAAAAATCGCTTTTTTTTTTTTTTTTTTTTTTTAAAATTTTTTTTTTTTTTTTTTTTTTTTTTTTTTTTTTTTTTTATTTTTTTTTTTTTTTTTTTTATTTTTTTTTTTTTTTTTTTTTTTTTTTTTTTTTTTTTTTTGTTTAATTTAATAATAATCAAATAATTTTTTTTTTAAAAAAAAAAAAAAATTTTTTTTTTTTTTTTATTTTTTTTTTTTTTTTTTTTTTTTTTTTTTTTCTTTTAAATAAAATTTAAATTTTTTTTTTTTTAAAATTTGGTTTTTTTTTTTCGAGGTTATAAAAGTTTTTTGAAATCAGATCAAGTGCAAATAATTGACAATATAGTATATGTAAAAAAAAAAAAAAATTTTTTATTAATTTTTCTACTTTATTTTTTTTTTTTTTTTTTTTTTTTAATTTAAAAAAGCCTTTTTAAACAACTTCAAAAAAAAAACTTCCAAAAAAAACCGAAAACCGAATTGAAAACGAAATTTAAAAACTTCATTGTTTTATACTTCGATATGCATTTTTTGATTTCAGAGTACGTATTTGATTTTGAACATGAAAGGAAGGAAACTTCGGCTAGCCGAAGTTTTTATACCCTTGCAGTTATTACAAAACGACTACATTTCGATTTCTATGCCTATATAACTAAAACAATGAAGCAATGTCGATTTTACGCTGCATTTTACCAGCGTTTCTAAGGCAGCTATTTGATATTCTGATTTAGTAAATAATTACTATAACTCAAAGGAATATTTTAATAAATAGAAAAACAAAATAAATACAAATTTTTTTGGAAGTTTTTTTTTTTTTTTAATTGTTCTATGGGAGCTATATGATATAGATGTACGATTTTAATTTAATTAAAACCTTAATTCCACATTATTTAAATATTACAAAATCACAAGAAACAAGAAAGGAAAGCTAACTTCGGGCGGAGCCGAAGTTGATATACCCTTGCAGAATACTCTATAATTATATTCTCCAAAATTATTCCTATGATGCATTCTTTATACTCATAAAAAATCCAAACTTCCTATCTTTAAAAACACCAAAGTTATGGCATTTCCGATCAATCAGTTATATGGCAGCTATAGGATATAGTCGGCCGATCCTTATGAAATTTGGTAGGTCGGATTGATTGGCCAACTATAAAACCCATAGAAAATCCCAACTTCCTAACTTTACAAACAGACGGACAGACGGACAGACGGACATGGCTATATCAACTCAGGAGGTGATCCTGATCAAGAATATATATACTTTATAGGGTCGGAGATGCCTCCTTCACTGCGTTGCACACTTTTGACCAAAATTATAATACCCTCTGCAAGGGTATAAAAACGAGGACGGAAACTAACTTCGGCAAGCCGAAGTTTAAAGGGATATTTCGCAGCCTTTAACAATTTTTCCTACAGAAACTATAAGATATAGACGTCCTGATCAAGGTATGCGTAAATAAATAAGACTTGGAAAAATTTATGTCAATAGCTTATACACGGCATGAAATATTCTGAAAATCATCAAATTTGGACCGATTTCACCCTATTGTTCCTATGGGAGCTATAGGATATAGACGTCCGATCGGCACGCGCTTTTACCCTGCTCAAGGTATTCATAAAAAAATAAGATTTGGAAAGACTTATGACAATAGCTTTTACACTGCGCGAAATATCTTCCGTTCTTGCAAGTTATATCCGATTGTTCCTATGTGAGCTATAGGATATAGCCATCCGATCGGGGCGGCTTTCAAATATTGATCCTGATCAAGAATATATATACTTTATGGGGTCGGAAACGTCTCCTTCACTGCGTTACAAACTTCTGACCAAAATTATAATACTAGGGTATAAAAAATTAAAAACAAAGTTATACTGTTTAAATTTTGTTTTCCGATTGTTCTTTTATGAGCTATATTCACCCGAACCGGCTCGTTCCGACTTATATACTACCTGCAATAGAAAGACAACTTTTGGGAAAGTTTCAAGCAGATAGCTTTAAAACTGAGGGTCTAGTTTGCGTAGAAACGGTTGGACGGACATACAGACATGGCTAGATCGACTTTCTTGGTGATGCATTCCTACGAACATAAGTTTTTAACTACTACGCTCTATTACTCTATTAACGCTTCTGAAGATCCTGCAGTAGTGAGCTGGTGATGCGGCTAGTCTAAACAGGTTATTAGTTGGATTTTTAGATTTAAATGTCCCAAAAATACCGCAAAAGTACCTAAATACTGCCACAGGGTAGCGCTTTGCAGCACTACTCCCAGTTTGGGCACGTGCAGGGTGTGCACACACTGGCGCAGAGAGGTAAACACAACACAACGCAATATTTCGTCGGAATTTCTCCTGGTTCTTGCCAGTACTGCCGCGCAATAAACCTGCCCAATTAGTGCCAAAATGGGCACGCATAATGCTCGGATCAAATGAAATCAAGTGCGAAGCGATAGTCGGGCAATTTGAGCGGGAAACGGTAACTGCGTGTCAAGTGCAAAATATGTAAACCGGAGGGTGGCGGGTTGACGAGAAAAAAACAAACACAAAACCCGAAACCAAAAACCAAAAAGCAGCAACAACAAAAGCCAGTGAGAGAAAGGTGCGAGAAATTCACCTGCCCCCGTGAGCCGATTAATTGATGACGTGGACGCGGACGAAGGACGCAGGGCCAGGATATATACATATTTCTGCAGTGCACATGCATGCTGCACACACGCACACACTCACACACATGCAGAAAACCAGTTGTTATTGTTGTTGCTGCAAATGAGAAGTGCAAGTGAAGCAGCAACAGAAATCCTGCTCTTAAAAGTACAAAGCGAGGAAAAGGAGAAAATAAATAAGCGGAAAAGGGCCAAGAAGGTGCGACAACGACAAAAGTTGTTTGTCAACTTGTTGCCAATGTTGCAGCCACAAAGTGGCTGGCTGTACAAACAGCAACAGCAGCAGCAGCAACAGCAACAAAAACCCAGCATTTTGCATCGGGCAAATCCAGGCGAAAGTCCCAGGCCGTCAGCAGGATACTAAGGAGCTTAAGAACAGAGCAGGTGGAAAAAGGCCCGGATTTCCTGCCATTTGGGTGAGCTGGTCAATTTGAATGCTTTCTGGCCCTTTTTAAATGTTTTCCCACTTTTCTCAAAGCTCACATGCAGAAACTTCTGTAAAAACACCATTTGCGGTCTAGAAACAGGTGGAAAACTAACGAAGCTACTTGGTTAATATCACAACCCTCTAAGATTTCTTCATATGTAAGGTACACATGTTTCCGCATTCCGCATAGTGAGGAAGAAGAGTATAAAAAGGACACAATCGGACATTTCAGTAAAGGACTTGGGTAAGTTTCAAGTGGTTCCCAATGGAAATTAGACTAAAAGACCAATTCGTTCTTTTACCCAGGCATTAAAACAGGCTAATCACGGAATTTAAACGAATACAATTCATTTAAAAGGACAAAGCAATCAGATTCTGGTAAGCACGCTTTAAATCAAAATTTTCGCACAGATAAATGTGTTTTTCGCATATTATAAGCAAGTTATATATTAATCCAAGAAACCAAGCCAAGGCTGGTTTTTGGAAGTGGTTGCTGAAGCTATTAATCATTCAATGACAATATTAATTAACAATCAAAAATATTTTCGGTTTTAAATGTTTTATTTAGAAACAAGTTTAAGACCTCTAAACATTTTTTAAACATCGTTTTATATTTAGGCAAAAACTCATTTATTAAAATTCCAAAATCTCTTGTTTTTTTGTAAACAAAGTTGCTTAGGCTAAAACATTTCTCCATGTAGGCTTAAGATGTTGCTCAAAAATAGGTTTTTATCGTTCCTGTTAGTGTTAATTACAAAAATAATTTTTTACCTTGAAAAAATGTTTCATATATTATTCCCTATGTTTTTAGCATTGCCTTCGAAGGACTTGAAGTCCTTTAAATTATTTTGGCGATTAAATACCCTCTCCCGGAACCATGTCCACTATTACTCGAAGCGCCAGTGCGAGTCCCATGGCGCTCAATGGCGTGATCGATGCCAGCCTGTTCCCTCTGAAGTCCACGGCCGATGTGGTAAATCTGTTCCGTCGCGCTTTAACCTCCGGAATCGAGCCCGATCTCACCCTGCTCTCCATTGTGGTCGGCTACATCGAGCTGTCTTTGACGACTGGAGAGGCCGCTGCTCAGGCCGCGCAAGCAGCTGCTGCCGCTGCCGCAGCAGGGGACATTAGTCAAGCGGCGACAGGTGTGTATAGCCCGCGTTCATGAGTCACACCTACCTTTTACCGCTCGCGTTCACCGTTATCCATTTACCAAAAGGAAACCTGTTAAAACGGAAGTCGTACACAATTGGAAAAGTTTCAGCGCCTTGTTTTGGTTATTGCCACAACGTCACGAATTTTTTAGCTAGTGGCAGTAAAAATTCCTTATTGCTTGTCGTTAGGCATTTGAGAAACTTCCAAAATTTGGTCACTAATTTTATCCTCTTAAAGTGGAGTTCAAAATTATATTTTTAATTTTAGTCCGATGCTTGCAAAGCAGTCAGTCTATCTATCCGTCTGTCCAACCGTTTCCCTGTCTATTACAGTTAGTATAAAAGGTAGAACATGTAGCTGCCATATGTTTTAACCTATCCGAAAATAAATAGAAAAACAAGAAAGAAAAGCTAACTTCGGGCGGAGCCGAAGTTGATATACCCTTGCAGAATATTCTGTAAATTATATTCTCCAAAATTATTCATATGATGCAATCTTAATACTCATAAAAAATCCCAACTTCCTAACTTTAAAAACACCAAAGTTATGGCATTTCCAATCGTTTAGTTATATGGCAGCTATAGGATATAGTCGGCCGATCCTTATGAAATTTGATAGGTTGGATTGATTGGTTAAAAATAGAACCCATAGAAAATCCCAACTTCCTAACTTAACAAAAACCAAAGTTGTGGCATTTCCGATCAATCAGTTATATGGTGGCTATAGGATATAGTCGGCCGATCCTTATGAAATTTGGTAGTTCGGATTGATAGGCCAAATATAACACCCATAGAAAATCCCAACTTCCTAACTTCACAAACACCAAAGTTATGGCATTTCCGATCAATCAGTTATATGGCAGCTATAGGATATAGTCGGCCGATCTTTATGAAATTTGGTAGGTCGGATTGATTGGCCAAATATAAAACCCATATAAAATTCCAACTTCCTAACTTAACAAACAGCAGAGTTATGGCATTTCCGATCAATCAGTTATATGGCAGCTATAGGATATAGTCGGCCGATCCCGGCCGTTCCGACTTATATACTGCGTGCAAAGGAAAGAAGGGTGTGTGCAAAGTTTCAATTCGATATCTTTAAAACTGAGAGACTAGTTCGCGTAGAAACAGACAGACGGACAGACAGACGGACAGACAGACGGACAGACAGACGGACAGACGGACAGACGGACAGACGGACAGACGGACATGGCTATATCAACTCAGGAGGTGATCCTGATCAAGAATATATATACTTTATAGGGTCGGAGATGTCTCCTTCACTGCGTTGCACACTTTTGACCAAAATTATAATACCGTCTGCAAGGGTATAATAACTGAATAATATAAATAATTTTTATGTTTTTTACAACATAAGTTGAGGTATAGATGTTTTACCGATTTCATTAATATACTTTATAAAAATAAAACAATTAAATCATATAGCTGTCATAGGAACGATATAACGAACTATATACTGCGTGCAAAGAAAATAAGGGTGTGTGCAAAGTTTTAAGTCGATATCTTTAAAACAGAAAGACTAGTTCGCGTAGAAACAGACAGACAGAGATGCTTATATCAACTCAGGACGCGAACCTGATCAAGAATATATATACTTTATATGGTCGGAGATGTCTCCTTCACTGCGTTGCACACTTTTGACCAAAATTGTAATACCCTCTGCAGGGGTATAATAATACCCCTTAATGTGTTGTTTTGATAGGCGAACCAAAAACAAACATTGAACGAATATGGAAGAGAAAAATGACGTAAAATAGCTCTCCTTCATATGGTTATCACAATTTTGTGATACCATAAGATGTCTGAATGTAGGGTGTAATTTAGTTAGCCTTAGCAGAGTCAGGTGCTAAGTCTATGTACTGGACATGTCTTAACCTTCTAATTTCTAATAAAGTTTAAGTTCTTTTGGAATAGTCGTTGGGCCAGGTTAGCGTCGATGTTTTAAAGGTGGTTATGGAGTCCCATAACCTGTCATTGAGTGTGGTTGCTCATTGTTTTACAAGGAGCTACCCACCGTGTTCTATTGAAGGATATCGACTTGGCTAGCTCAGCCTTGCGGTTGCTTAGTACGTCGGTGTGTTCAGGCACCCAAATAGGTTTGATACTCAGGTGTGCGGTCGTCTCGTTCAGAGATGTAACTGAAACTGCTGCTTCACGGTCCGAAAACAGTGATGTGTTCAGGAGAGCCATTGTGTCCTTAATAGCAATGACCTCCGCCTGGAACACATTGCAATGGTCTGATATATATAATTAAAAAAAATATATATTTCGGTTCGAGTAGATCCCAACCACCGTTTACTTATTTAGCTAGAGCCATCCGTATAGTTCAGGATAGTGTTTATAGCATCAGTGCTATGATTTGGAAATAGTTCCGGTTTTGTTTGTTTTTATTCCAGCATAGCTTATTATTAAGAATAACTCCCAAGTACTTCGCTTGGATGCTAAAAGACAGTCGTGATTGGGGCATTAAGGGCCAGTTTAGTTTAGTTTTTTCGGGGTTAACAATGAGTCCAACAGGAATTTCCTTTGAGCGTAGACCACCACCCTTGAGCCTTCTCTTTCTTTTCTTAGTAGGAGTAGGCTAACTACTATTACTTAACATTGCATTGTATCGTGCAACTCTCTAATACGCATATGCTATGAGAAATAGTATTTTTTTACGATTTTAGAAAAACGATGTATATATAATTCCATACATCTGCATTAGGAAATATCGGAAAATTAAAAGGAAAATCGACATACTTAATTTCGTTGTTATTTAAAATATTAGATTGAAATTAAAAATAAAAATTTTTGTGTATAGCTGAAGATTTTATTACCATACTACCTTCATGTTAGTTTTCTTTTTTGTTCGGTTAATAAATTTAGTTTTGTTTTTAAATTAATTTCGTTTTCTAATTTTCTATAACGTAAATATATACGATTTATATGCATAGTCCACGGATTAGAAGTAAATTTAATTTCGTAAATTTCCATACTTATTAAAATTATATTAACTTATCTTCAATTTAATGGTTTGATTTTTAGAGAAGCTGTTTGTGGGAATATTGAAATGACATAACATTATTTTATTTTTAATTAAAACTAATTATCCACCTTTACCTTATGCAGGCGGAACTGACGTTATCATGGGCAACAGCGTTCCCTTTCCGGTAGTTACCCATGAGCTGATCGCCGGGCTGTACAAGAAGTTTCAGACGATCCTGTCGGTGGTGGAGAAGCCGAAGCCCCACCGCCAGGCCACCCGCGAGGTGATCAAGAAGGTATCCGACGTGATCTGGAACTCGCTGATCCGCAGTAGCTACAAGGACCGGGCTCACCTGCAGAACCTCTACAGCTATCTGTCCGGGAACAAGTTGGACTGCTTCGGAGTCGCTCTGGCAGTGGTGGCGGGATGCCAGTTGCTCGGCTACAAGGACGTACGACTGGCCATCTCAGAGGATCATGCCTGGGTGGTGTTTGGCCAGAAGCGTGTGGAGACCATCGAGGTGACATGGCACGGCAAGGGCAGCGAAGATAAGCGGGGACAGGATATCCGCCCTGGGATTGAATCCGGGTCGTGGCTCTACTTGGGTAAGTTTAAACTGTGTGCAGTAAAAATGGCCACTGCCTTTTTAAATATGTTGCTAGAATTAGAGTCACTGAGGATTGTTAAGCTATTCAAATACTCCAACCTAAAAAATACTCGAATACCTAAAAAATGTGTACTTATAGTTTCAAAATATTGTCTTTATGAGTTATATCTTTGTTTTTGTCTTTTGCCTTCATCCCAATTTCACACGAGCATTTCTTGTTTTGATTAGAACTGGTCATTCCTTGTCAAAAAAGATAAATGACGGTTCAGAGTAGCATCTTTTAATGAAAATTATTGACTTAAATCTAGTTTAATTCAGGTGGACCAAATTTGTACGCTCCGCTTAAAGTTTTCTATGCACCATTGCTGTCCTTTTTTTTACCACCGTAAATTTGCTATACTTAAAATGTTTAATCCACTAGTAGATCTTGCAAATCTTTTTTGTATAATTTTTTTCTTGTGAATATCTGTGCACTTACCTTCAGGAGGAGTTTCAGATATCAGGGTACTTAATTTAGCCTTAAAATTTATCCAGTTTGTTTCCTTGACGTTATGAAGATGTTCCCCCTTTTGAACCACTGATAAGGTAGTGGTTTACCTTATTAAAATGGGAGTGCGATAAAAGGGTGATATCAAGGAATGTTCGCTCCGGTCCAATATTGCAAATAAATTGTCTTTTTTTTTAAATAAAATAATTCAGAATGATTAAGAAAACGATTTCTTTCTTTTTGTTAAAATATGATCCTGATATAAATAGATTATTGGGTCTGAAAAGTCTTCTTCGCTGCGTATCGAATATACGCTAAAAAATATCCCACCCATATACCTTTAACATTAGAAAACATTGTCTAATATATTTCGTCTTATTAAAGGTGGCCTGGCGGTGATTTGCGAGCGTGGAATGGAAGTGGCGGCCATCTGTGCCGCTCTCAACATCTCGCTGACCTCGAACAGTGACTGCGTGGAGGTGGCAGAGCTGCAGCAGCAGCTGCTTTGGTTGCTCTACGACTTGGGACACCTCAAACGCTATCCGATGGCCATGGGCACTCTTGGCGAGCTGGAGGAGATCCATCGGACACATCCGAGCATCAGTTGCGAACAGCTGTATCGGGAGGCCATAGAGTCGGCGAGAGTCCACTACCGGAATCACCATGTATATCCGTATACCTACCAGGGAAACTACTACAATCGATTGCTCAAGTACCGGGACGCTTTTGCCGCGTGGGCAAATGCAGCGGATGTAATCCGTTTGTACACGTACCAGTGCCGGGATGACGAGGAGATCTATAAAGAGCTTTTGGACATTGCGAACGAGCTAATACCCTATGTGATGAAAACCGAAAGTTCGGGTCATTCGGCGAGAAGTATTTTACGAGACTCCGAGGTATTTGCAAATCTACTGCGGTTCTACGACGGCATCTGCCAATGGGAAGAGGATAGCCTAACGCCCATTCTGCATATTGGTTGGGCCAAACCGCTGGTAAACAATATTACCAAGTTTGACTACGACATCAGATCCCAGGTGGTCATTAAATTGCCCGAGGATCTGGAGGCGGAGCAAGCGAAGGCGGAACAAGCGAGGGCGGAACAAGCGAAGGCGGAACAGGAGGCTAGGGAGGCTAGGGAGTCTAATGAAGCTACGGGATCAGATGCTTTGGAGGGAAATAACAATACGATGGTTAAAAAGGAAGAGGTAAGAAAATGCATTCGTTAACCTTACAAATTTTAACTAGAAAGTAGTGTTTCTTATTTTATCTCAACATTTGTCGTGATTTTTTATGTTTCAGGATCTAGGTCACGTGTTTTTAAGAAAGCAAATACGTAGTTTTGACATTAATAAATTTAATTGGGTAATTCGAAACAGAAATTTGGAGCTACTGTTTTTTAAATATAGAAAAACGATATCACTTTTTTTACGTTTTCCGAACCGCTTAACAAGTTCAACTCTAAGTATCAATTTAAAATCTTTATAGAATTAATTTAAATGGGTCTTATTGTTTTTCTATCGATGTATCATTTTGATCGAGATCCTTGGAATTATTTGATTCTTCCTTCGTAGAAAAAGTGGAATCCGAGTCGTAATTGGGTTTGAAGTCCAACTCTTTCATGGATTTTGAGAAGCAAAGACACTTCGATTTGCTGTGTTTGGTATGTTTTGAATGTTTTGAATGCCTATGGTCTGAATCTCTGTCCCCGGAGTATCGCCTATGGTGCCTATGCTTTCTTTCTGGATCCGATTCCCTTGAAAGGCGCCTATACTGGTGATCTGCGCCAATGTCCATACAATCCCGGAAATGGCACCTGCAGTCTGGAATTCTACAGTTCGTGGAATGGTGCCTGTGCTTGTGATCCTCATCTTCGTCCATTGAGTCCAACGAATGTTTTTTATACCCCTTGGAATGGTGCCTAAGGCTGCGCGAATCCTTCGAGTCCATGGATGGACAATGCCTGTGGCAATGGAGTTTCATAGAGCTCCTAGAACGGTGCGTGTACTTGTAGTCTGAACCTTCGTCTTTAGGAATTACCCAATCTCGGGATTTGGTATCTCTGTCCTTAGACTCTTTAGATAGGCATTCTTTGCTTTGACACGGAGGCATTAAGTGCGAGTATTCCATTTCTGGCATTTTTAAGTGTTTTGAACAATCTATTTTCTGGGTTAACTGAACCTTGGAAGTAGTAGAACCACAATGGTGGTTGCTCTCTGTGGAATCCCCGCATTCATGGCGTCTACGCGGTCGTATCGCTACCACTTGCGGGTTATTTAAGAGAATGTCTTTTAGTTGCTGAACAGCATACTTAGGATTATCACCGTATTTGAATAATATGTGCTCCACATTCCCTAACTTATCAGCGAGCTGCTCCTGCTCTATGTCCAAGTGACGAATCTTGCACTGTAAATCCCTGATGGTCGCAGCCTTGGATTGCAGCTCGTTTTTGCTTTGGTCGCACTTATCGATCAGAGCTTTCCAAGACTTAAACTCCTTGGGATCTGGGCCATTCTTCGAGTTGTTCGGCGATTCGATTGTGAATGATACCCCAGTCAAAGCCCTCTTAGAATTGTGTTTTTCCGCATACTGATTTTGCGGGTAAGGTTGCTGAGTGCCCGTTGTCAGCTCGCCTTCGCTATCCGAGGGCAGAGAAACGTTCTTGCTTTCTGCGTGAAATTCCGAGGCTTTTCGAGCTCCCTTTGTCTGCGGAGGGGGCTTTATAGATTGCTTTTGTGACTCAGGCTTTTTGAGTTTGAGACGATCAATGCTGCGGCTATCCAGGCTACTTCTCCTTTCGTACTTGTACGGGTTTTTCGTGTAATTAAAGATCATCGACTGACACTTGTGCATGGCATTCAAGTTCCCAGTTGCAAAACAGGCGATTTCGAGACTTTTGCTGAGCCCGATTGGCGAGTCTTTCCTCACCTTTTTGGCATCGTATTCCTGCCCGTTGTCGTTGACTTTATAGAATTTGTATATCCAGTTGCAAAAGTCCACGTGGTTGTGCCCCACAATCAACTCTTCCACGGGAAGATACCGCGTTACTTTCAGCTTCTCGAAGCAATTGTGCAACAGCCGGAAGTTTGCATCAAAGTCGACTTTGGTGTGCGTATAAAACTTGACTTTGTGGATTAAAATAGACGTGGGAAAGAGCCTGTGCATGACTTGGCAGTATACTGCCCCGGTTTTTAGGTCGTCCATGCCCCGCAATTCGCAATCGAGTGTGTTGTTCAGGAACACCAGCAGGCTCCTTATGGATATCATTTCGGTTTTCTGTACTATCACATTTTTCGCCATTTGGGTTGGTTGGGCTTTGGTTTTATTTTGCAAAGATGACATTGTTCTGGAAAGAAATCAGGTATCACAGAAGCATCAGGGTTTTATGTTGTTCAATCCAGATATTAAAATAGCAATTGGTATATTAGAAGTATGTAGCAAAAAAAAAGACTTTGGTAGGGATTGTATTCTGCTTTCCTTAATCTCGAATAAGACTTAGTTCCTATTTTGTTATGCTGGCAAGAAGGAATTACTTTATTTATAAAATAATTTTTTTTCAAGAATGCTTACCTATTATTTTCGATGCTAAAAAAACGTAAAAATATGAATGTAGTTACTACTTTTGATACTGAAATATATTTTACAGGCAAGGGATAGATGGGTCACGACCTACCAAGATCTTGTGATATAAAATTGTTTTGAAATTTTAATAACACGTGCAAACAATTCTCACATTTTTTATAATAAATATCTCATTAAACAGGCTAAAAATGATTTAATTTTGGTTTTTTTTTTACCAGAAAACAAAAAATTCCGAGCTGCCGACCACTTTGGCCGACTTAACAGCTGCCTGCGGCGAAAAGATTCTCAATCCGGACTTCCTGCTTCAAGGCGGAGGTCAACCCTTCGCCGACCAGAAGCAACAACCGTCTGTCGGGGAATCCGGTGTGAAAGAGTTTCACAATAATAACAACAATAGCAACAGCAGTAACCACAACCATAATTCCGATAAGATGGAGGCTCCAGGCACCACAGCAAGGGCAAGCAACGGCAGTGGAACCTCTGCCCAATTGCCCGTTTCTATTGAGGCCAGCCATACTGACCAAGCACAATCCCTGAATCAAACACATGTCCAGCAGGGAAAACCACAGCACAAAGAAGCTAAGAAGGAGGATGCAAGTGACGATTACGATCCCTTCGAGATAATGCTGAAAAGGCCAGTAATCACGTTGTACAGCCAGAAGATGAAGGGTCTGAAGGATCTTTTACTGGCCGAAAAGCTCAACACACATGCGATTTCTCTCCAAGTCACCGCCCAGTCGGTGGCCTCCCGAAAGATTCGAGGGGTGGAGAAACAATCGGCAACCATTTCGGCCACCATCACAGCAATTTCGTCGAGTTCTGGAGACGGGGTTCTAGGTGGAGTCAGTGGTGGAGGAGGCAGTGGCTCAGGAGGCACCGGTGGAGCATCCATGGCAGTATCGTCACCAGGAGGAGATTCAATTGCCGCCTCACGTCCAAAGAGAACTCGTCGCGAGTAATTCTCGTTGTTGTGTATTACGTATTATTATTAATCATGTGTGCAAATGGAGGTGGTTCGATTTTTTTTTTTGGTCAGTCATAGAAACATATGTAATTTGTGGGCAGTTTTTATTTGAAAAAAGTGTTTTTGAGAACAATGAAGTCAAAATTAACTTCAGAGCTTAAATATTTTGTAGGGATCCTTACATTTCATAAATTTAAACCAAAAATACCACATAGTTGAGACCTATGTATCCAAGAATGAAGTTTCATTGGATTACAGATTACTTTTGGTCTTTTTTCAACCAAAGGAAATCGAGCCACCCCTGTAGCCGTGCATATAAATATATATGCTATCATATTTTTGATGTTCGATGTGTATTTATGTAGTTCGTAAGCGCGAGACGAAACAAAAAAAAGCCGTTAGAGAACGCCTAGCGTTTTAAAAATAAATATAAACAGTGAAACACACAGACATGTCCCAACAAACAAACAGGCACTCAAAACGCTAAGCTATGCTAGATATTTGTAACATATTTTTAGCTGTTATACTTTTTCTCGATGTATTTATTGTTAGAACTACGTATTTCCCCTCCAGCATGTTTGAACTTTTTTTTATTATTATTATTTAACCGTAACTTAATTGGTGCTCTTTTTCAAAGGCAGAAAACTCGGTTCTATATTTGATTTCAATCACTTTTTAGGCAAACCTTGAAAAGGAATTTTGAGAGGAAATCATAGATCATAAAAGTGATCGAAATCAAAAATGGAAACAGAATTGCTCATATATTTGTATTTACTTTACAGCATTTTATTGAGGCTAAGCTGTTTGATTTTATTCTATTTAAACATATATCCTGTACTATTTAAGAATTTACAACTTTGTTACGAACTGTTGACTTGAAACAACTAAACAGTTGACAAACCCGAGTGGAAAACAAAAGAATACAACTTTTAACACTTCCTCTATATGTGATACAACACTTTTTCTAGAAAAGCTTTCATATTATCTTATAAAACTAAATAGAATTAACCACTCTCCACACACTTTAAACGAGAACTACTTAAATGGGCTGACAGCAGCAGGACAGGCTCTTGTTTAGGGAAAGTCCAGTCCAAAATGTATCCCGATCCCACGAATGTCCTTACAACTTGTCACTCCATTTAGCTACAGCAACTAGGGACAAAATCGGAGCTTGTAACAAATTGTTAAATGATGATAATAATTGCATTGAATTTAATTTGATTTGTGCGTAGAGCATCTGTGATGAATGATAATGTTTAGAAGAGAGAGGAGAAGAAAAGTGGAGAGCCCGAGACAACACACAAAACTGATCAACAATATTACTTATCAATGTATGGTGTTTTATTCCTCATATATAACATTAGCAGACTAAAAGCAAACAAATGAAATCAAAACAAACTATTTAATTATGTAGATTTGCAGACCGCAACAACTTAATGTTAAATGTTGAACTACAGTTATATTTAAATGTAAACTAGATACTGAGACTAACAGAACAAAAAAGGAGTATATATTTTGGCATACAAAATTTTTAACATTAAGTGAACGAATGCAAGAATTCGAATTGCGAAATATTTTTTATTTTCATTACACTTCGGACAGCACGAAATCCAACCCAAGATAATAGACATAAACCGAAAGTTCGCTATGCAATAAATTAAAACACAGCAACAGAAACAATATACAAACCTATAAGAATATAATATATATATTTATTAATGTTGAAGTAACGTACATTTTTGCTCTACTTGTTTAAAATAGCCAACCAGCAGCAACAGTTAAATTAAATGTAGCTATAAATCCCAATGCTCAATAATCCTTTTAGCTTGAAAGTCAAATAGCCAACCGTAAAAATGTTAAACAAATCATTAAAGGCAAATAAAAAATGAACTATTTTTCTGGCTGCTATGGACCTGAGAAAAGTTGAAGAATCAAGTTTCTTGAAATGGGAATTCAATAATTTGTGAACTGACTAATAAATACTTCAAAACAAAGTTAAAGTACCTTTTCTTGTACAAATTCGAATTTGAAATTAAATTAAATGGCACACGAATTCGAATAAGCATGACACTTCATGTATCTTTCCTAATTCCATTTTTCCGGTTCATAGATAGCTTGCAATTTTTTAATTACGCACTGCGTGTTGCGTAACTATGCGGGGTGGGAAGTTTAAACATGCATTTTAAATATTGTTTCTGTTTAATGATGTGGGGAAAAATCTATTGAAATGATCTGTTACATCAAAGTTAAGTGAATCGTTGAAAATTGATCAGAAATTTGCAGCCATTAGTCAAACGACCTTTTTTTTAAACTTCAAACCTGCGTAACTAAATTATTTTTTTTTAATTCTTCGGATTTAAAAACAAACTATATTTTTTTGGGTATAATTATTATTTAAAACTTTATCAAGCTGATTTAATAGTAAATAATGCCTTTAGCGGTATTAGTAATTGCAGAATTTCCAAAGCTTTCTAATAAAAGTAGATAGGCAACTCTAATTTTCAACGACTTAATGAAAGCCAAAATTCCTAAAAGTTCCATTTATATTAAACGGCTGAAAAAAATTCAACGATTCACACTAAATGTTTTTTGGCAATTGCGGTACGTGGTTACCCTAAAACTTAGCGAACTTATCGATATATCGAAAGTAGCGATTATATCGCCAATGGTTAGCCCACCACTATGAAAAGTGACTAGGCATCATTTTGGCAACAAAAAAAGAAAATAGCGTCAGAAATAATATTTAAACGCTCTTTAATTAATAAAAAACATGTCTGCACCTGATAAGGAAAAGGAGAAAGAAAAGGAGGAGACCAACAACAAGGGCGAAGATTTGGGTCTCCTGGAGGAAGACGACGAGTTCGAGGAGTTTCCCGCCGAAGGTAGGATATAAAATTTGGTAAACTGAGTATGTCTAATGGATTTAATGTAGATTTCCGCGTGGGCGACGACGAGGAGGAGCTGAACGTGTGGGAGGATAACTGGGACGACGACAATGTGGAGGACGACTTCAGTCAGCAGTTGAAGGCCCATCTCGAGAGCAAGAAGATGGAGACGTAGACCGGCGACCTCTTTGTTCAATCCTAACCATGAAAACGAGCTGAGCAGTTTTGCAGTTTATAGAATAAAATCAGTATATTAAGTGGAATTGATCTGCCAGTTTTCGCCGAGAGCTTCACAGAGGTGCTCACTTAAAATACCATGCAGCTGCTCCAGGCCCAAATTTCGCTGGTTCAGCTCCATTACGACGGTTTCCAGATCTTCCATGCGACTCTTGCGGTCCCTTAAATCGACTTGCAGCTGTTCAAGTTGCTTTTGTAGCTTGCGATCCTCGGAATCATGTTTCTGCTTCCGGGTGTCGTACTGCTGGTCGCAAGAGGAGATTTCTTTCTTCTTCAGCTCCGAGTCCTGGCGACGCTGTTGGTAACTGGCTTCCAAGGTGGGCACCTGTTTCCCCATCGCCTCCAGCTGCTTCGTGCTCTCCTTGTAATCCTCAAGTTTGCTGGGAGCAAGTGCGGCCGTGGCCTTCTCCAGAGCAGTGGCTGCCTGCTGGCTGGCTTCAATCACACGGCGATGTTCATTGGTCACCTGCTCCTTGCTTGCCAGCTCAGCTTTGCAGCTCTCGACGTGGGAGGAGGCGACCTTGATTTTGCTGGTTGAATGAAAATATCATTAGCAAAAAGAATTCCAGCTTGTTCGACTCCACTTACTTTCTCAATTCCATCACTTGACTGTCCTCCACCACCAGCTGCTCCCAGTGACAGATGCGCTTGCCCAGCTCTATCTCCTCCTGCTCCAGGAGTTCCAGACCGTTGACATGCTCGCTACAGGATTTCTTCAATTGATGAAGTTTGGCCTGAGTATCCTGCAGTTCTTTCTTCAGCTGGTTGATGGCCACCTCGCAATCCTTCCTATCGCTTTCCACAGTGTCCGCCTTCTGCCTGCGTTGCTCCAACTGCAGGCTTTTGGCTTTGATCTCGGCTGTCAGGGAGTCCTTCAGCTTGATGGTCTCCTCCACGGGTCCCAGCACTTTCTTCTTGAACACTTTGTAGTAGGCTAAGTAGTTGAACAAATAGCTCAGAGTGGAGAGTGTTTTTTTAACAGCTGCAACAAATAATATATATATTAAATTAAGTGAAAATAGAATGAAGTTCAGAATGAGGTAAAATGTAGCAATTGTTATTTGGTTGATCACAAGTTCAAATATTTCCGTAACCTATGCTTTTTACAGATGCGGTGATTCTTAGATTTCCATGGGCACTCTTTTAACTAAATCAAGATTCCAAATAGTATTCCCGAAAGAACTCTTTGAGATCCGTAGATACGTAGAATATTCTATCCCTTTGACCCTTTTATTTTAATCTTTATATGTGGAAATAGGATATAATATATTTAATTAATATTAGAGGTGACTTAGCACCCGGGTTCAGCCCCAAACGACTGGCATTTTGGTCGGATACGAAGAGGAAGGAACTTAGAATACTTTGAAACGCACCTGGTTTAATTATGTCCACATATGTGTAGGTCTTGTTGGGAAAGCTGATCTGTATAATGCGCTCCACTTGGCGGCAAAGCCGGATGAGGAAGACGCGCCCCTCTCGCGATGAGTGGGCGAGCTCACTGCCTGTTTTGTAAGGCGGATCCAGGCGGAACCCGAAACACTTAAGATAGTGCACCAGGATCTTGGTCACAACGCCCTCGCAGGGATTGGCCAGGTCGCCCTGGGAGATGTTTATGTCGGGCATCAGGCAGTTGCCCTGGCCCATCACCCTCTCGATTTCAGCCGAAACCGCCATTTAGAAAGACTATCGTTTGTTAAGTAGCGATTTTAAATAGATGTGCGGCTTGGTGTGACCAAACTTGGTTAGAAGTAAATATCCAGATAATAAAGGTATTCGCCCAAAACATTTTTTTTCAGTATAAAGTTACTTCAACATTAATAGTTTCAAAAATTATATGGCTTCCTCCTCGAAATAAAAATGTTCGCCGCCATTTCTCCTAAAATAAATCTATAAATCGATATACATAGTACTCAGATCGATTAAATCTGACTACATCTGTCAGCTATGAAAAGTGAGAGAGTGGCATTTTTTCCGTCCCAGAGAGTTGCAAAAATACCACAATATTTACATCGCGTTGCCAACCAACTGAAATTAACTCTGGGAAAACGTTCGTTAGCCTTTTGAAATATGTCTAGTCAGAGCAGAGTGTTTTTTTATTAAAAGATGCTCGGAAAACACACAACAAAACGAGGAACATCACTTTCAAGAATTTACTGCATGAAGTGGGTGCGAAAGCAGTTTTGCAAATTAAACAATGGAAAAATGATAAAAATGATTAAAATCATTAAAATTTACAAAAAAAAAACTGTAAATTATAAATTTTATTGTTTCTTATTTCCTCTGTACACCGGCAGACTCGTCTTGCCAAGGTACTTAATAATATCCTTTAAGGGGACCCCCCATTCTCGGTTTTTTTTATTTAATTCGAAACTATAACTATTCCTTTAAAATTTCAAGTGGTAATTTCAAAAACTTTTGAAGATATATCCGATTTATGGAGGAAGCGTCAGGCGACGGCGAGAGCTTCTTAAAACTTTAAACGCGTTTTTCTCGAAACAGTATTTTTACGACTTAAAAGTCCTGTCCTTCAGATATGTTTTTCTTTTAGGCACAATACGTCCTTTGTTCTTAATATTTTTTTTTTATAACAAAAACCTTTCAAAATAAAAGTGTGATATTTTACAAATTGCTGATATATCAACAATTTTAAAAGTAGGGAAAACGTTAAAATTTTTTTTGCAATATTCTCACACTTCATTTATCATTTAAAACTTTATTATTTGGTTAATTTTTCGTTTACGAAAATAAAACTGTTTTTATATGTACATACAAGTCGAAAATAGAAAAAATCGTAGAGTAAAAAATACCCCAATCGTGTAGTGTAGGTTCAACCGGCTTCCAGTTGCCATGGATCTTTTTATTTACCAAGTTTCTATGCACATTTGGTCTTTGAAAACTCTGAAAAATGGCCTCCTCCAGCGCTGTAGAAGATGAGCACCTCACGGACTCTGACTTAACCGATGACGAGGGTGAGTTGGTGTCGGTATCTTCGTTCCACAGCCTCCAATTTTCGAAATCCCAGAGCGCAGCGTGGAACCGCGTCAGGAAGAGCTGCGCCCCGAGACCCCAAAACCCTCTTACAGCGACGAGGAACTGCACCAGTTGGTGGGTTACATACAGCGCATGAGTGTGTTGAGCTGCCTGGATCACAGGGACTGGCACGAGGGAGCCCTGGACATAATCAGACGTTGGCTCCTGGAGGTCCACGAGCCCCTTCTGACCATATACTATGATAGAGATGCACTGTCCGCCTGCCTTGGCATTCCCACCACATGTGTCTCAGATCTGAGTTACTTTCGCCGGGAACCAAATGAGATCTTTACCGTGGAGGGCTTCCACGATGAGGTGAACTTTGGAACCTTGACGAGCGACGTGGATGGGTGTTTGATGGAGTTACTGGATCGTTTGTACGCCCCCTTCTTTCGAAACTTTCGTGAGTGGAATGCTACGGTGCGAAGTCGCTTTTGCTCCAGTTTGGACAGATTTCTGGCATTCCTCACCGGGATGCATCACCAAATCTCTGGGGTGGCGGTGCTCTATGTGCCCTATGTTATCAAGGAACTCGCGGCTGGACCCGTTGATAGGCAGTTGGTCAGGAGCTTGGAGGGAATCGCCCTGTACTGGACCACACAGATTCGCACTTTGCTGGAAGACGATACCTTGACGGTTCCTCATGACCTGGTCACCGTGCGGGACGAGTTTGAGTTTTGGGAGTATCGCTGTGAGTTAAATCTGTTTACTTCATTTAAATATACGGTTATTAATAACCGTTATACCGTTTAATAAAACTTTTTAAAATATTTTTTCTAAACTTTGATTTATAAGGTCTACAATATGCTTATAAACAGTTACCGTAATCTCTTTTAGCCTCATTGCAAGAAATAAATACGATTTTGTAATACATTGCTCATAATTATCTAAGTGTCACAGTTTAAATGAAAATAATAAAAAACAAGAAAAGAAAGCTAACTTCGGGCGGAGCCGAAGTTGATATACCCTTGCAGAATACTCTGTAAATTATATTTTCCAAAATTATTCATATGATGCATTCTTAATACTCATAAAAAATCCAAACTTCCTAACATTAAAAACACCAAAGTAATGGCATTTCCAATCGTTTAGTTATATGGCAGCTATAGAATATAGTTGGCCGATCCTTATGAAATTTGATAGGTGGGTTTGATTAGCCAACAATAAAACCCATAGAAAAGCCCAACTTCCTAACTTAACAAACACCAACAGTTACGGCATTTCCGATTAATCAGTTATATGGCGCCCGAAGTTAGCTTTCCTTTCTTGTTTTTTAATAATATATATTCCAATGAGAATTTAAAATTATTTTAAACTATTTTTCGTTAGCATAGACACCACTATATACTATATAAAAGTTATAAAATCATAGAAAAAGACTGAGGAATGCCGTGCGAATTGGAGTCGGTTTTACCAGGCACTACAAAATTAGTTCTAGAAAGAAAAGTTTTGTTTATCGGTTATTGTAGAGTAAAAGGGTAGATTGTTTTCGTTGAAAAAGCGTTTCCGACCTTATAAAGTAAATATATTCTTGATCAGGATCAATAGCTGAGTCGTTTAAGCCAGTCTGGCTGTACGTCCCTTTGAACATCGAAAACTAAATTAGCTAAGATTTTTAGGCTTTCTTACGCAGTGCCAATTTATTTCAAAGTGTTGCTACGCCCACTCTAAAACCGCACTAAAAAGACATAAACAACTATCTAAAAACAATACGCTCGCTTTTCGCTGTCAAAAATTTATAAAATGCGTCATCAGCCGGGGGTATATTTACTTTAAAATTGTTTGCCAGGCAACCAATTTAAATCGATGCTTCCTTCTTGCTTATTTCTCTCTTTTCAGATGAAGTTCTTCAAGGGATCAACGACCAATTGGCTCAATCGGATGTTCAGAAAGTGTTGCAGTTGTTGCACAAAGCGCATTCCGTACACATGCCACAAATGGATGGTCTTATAGAGAGGGCCAAAGGAGAGCTTCTTAAATCACTGTCCAACATTAAGTTTCTTCACCTGCTGATCGAGCCCTGCTCTAAAATCGACGTAGCCACAAGTCCTTCTGACTTGAGCAAGCTTTTACCACGTATAATTCACCTTATACGCTTTATTTGGTTGAATTCGGAGTATTACAATACGACTCGACTTATAGCGGGATTGTTCCGGAATCTGAGCAATCAGATCATAAAGTAAACTTTGGCAATACATATATAGTAAATCATTTAATTATATTGTTTTGAGCAGATTTTGCACGGGGCAAACCAAAGTTGAAGACATCCTCTCGGGAAAGCCGCGCTTTGGTATTCAAATATGCAACAATGCCATCGATTGCTGCCTGGTTTACAAGGGGATCTATGGTAAAATGTCTAAAGAATTGGCCGAGAAACAGAGACAGTTGCCTTGGGAGCTGAACGAAGGCCTGATCTTCAACCATATCGATGCTTTTGTCGAGCGATTAAATGATGTGATTGATATTTGCGAATCCATGATAGTTTTTGGTCGTCTGGATGAGAACGGGAGCATACCCAAGCCCAGTTTTGGCGGCACATGTGGCGAGGAGATGGAGAAGATAGCCGAAAATGTGGAGCAACAGTTCCTGGACACGTTAAAGCAATTGCAGGGCAGCTCCCAGGCATATATTCTAAACGTACATCGGTCGGATTGGTATAACGATGTGGCCAATTTTCGCAGGAGCATGACGAAACTGGAGGAGACTGTCCAGCGGTTAATTTTCAATGTTTTCCAGCGCGTATCAAATGTGGAGGAGACATTGGAAGCCCTGCAGGCCATGCTATTCTACTCCTACCGCCAGAGGGGGACTCTCAGAAAGACATACCTGAAGGAGGTGAGCCGGTTATGGAGGATGTTCTCCAAGGAAATGGATGCCACGTCGAGAAAACTACTAGAGGAGCGAGGGCAGGAATCCTGGCTATCCAAGCATGTATCCATGGCTCTTAACTACCGCATCAATTTGGAACGCTTAGCTTGGCTTAAGGACCGACTAAAGAATGCCGAGTGGTTGCCGCCTGACAAAGAATCCTCTCCAGTGCTGGCCAAATTCGCTTCACTGCGTCACGAGTTCCAAAAGGAAATCCGTCAGGCCTACGAAAATTGGGTGGCCAAGTGCTGTGGGTTTTCTGGCGATCTCAGCCAGCGTTTGGACCGCTACTTGATGGTTCGCAGTAAGAAATTCAAAGGCCTTCTGGAGTGCAATATTGATCCATCCGTATTGGAGCTCTGTGAGCAGGCTCAGCACTTCGAAAGGTTGGGTTTTGCCATCCCCAACACCCTGAAAAAACTATATGAAAGATACGATGTAATAAGATCCTTGTACAACAGCGTAATCCAACTTGCTCTCAGTCATAATTGCATTTTGACCGCTTTGAGTGATAAAGAACGACATTTATTTCGACCCTTGATTCAAGCCTGTGATCGCCAACTGGCTCCTGGGATATTCAAGATTACCTACGGCTCTGATCTGAATGAGGAATTTTTCGAAGATGGCAAAGAGTTCCTCGGCGAGTTCCAGGAGTTGGTTCACATATTTAAGCGGGCAAATCGAGGCGTGGCGAGAAGTTGTGAGAAGATCTGCGATACCTGTTTGCTGCACTTCGCGTTCGCTGGTGCCGTGGATATATCCGTGTTCCAACAGCATTTGTCCAGCAGACTAAACTCCTCCGGTGACGTCTTGAGGAAGTACTACGGCAACATAGTGGAGCTCCTGTTCGCTTTTAGTCGGCAATTCCAGTCGGTGGACGACGAGGTAAGTAGTTCACATTACAGCCCACAATGAAGTAACTAAATATATAGTGAGGTAAGTTGTTTGGATTTAAACACAAATCTAAAATAGCGACAAAAGAAAATCATTTCAATATTTACTTTTTATTATTTTATCTAACTTGTGCCTAGTGCCTTTTTTATTGCTAATGAATATTTATACAGCGAAATTTCGCAAAAATGCTGTTCTTTAAAAATTGAATTGTATTTTTACAAGTGATATTCGAGTGATTTAAGATAGGACAACTAAACTATTTAATAGTTTTAAATTTGATATTGTAACTTTGTTCCGATTTTATTCCTTTTCTCACAAGATGTCTACGGAGTGGATAACTTTCGTGAATGATCTGGATGACATGGTGGCCAGCGCTTTGATGACCAGTGCCCGGGGCTCCTTAAACATGCTGTATAAAGCCCTACACAGTGATGAGGATATGGCATCCGCTCCCATAATAGTCCTCGAATCGGATGTGAAGGACGGTCGAATTGTGTTCACTCCCGACATGGATGCCATCGGGGATATGGTGAATGGAATCGTAGACAGTATCCGCAGCATGTTGGATCAGTTTCCCCGACTGGGTTACAAACTGAAGCTCCCGAAGAAGCAGCAGCGTCAAGGATTCGCCTGCGTTTTCCGGGAAGATCAGGAGTGCTCGGAATTAATGAGGAGCATTCAAGCGGAGATCGCCATCCAGCGAGAGGAGATGGCCAAGTATGAATCAGAGTGGAATCAACACCGTTCCCTTTGGGAAAACACGGAGGAGGGATTCCGACAGCGCCTGAATTCCAGTTCACGAACGGCTGGGGTTTTTGAAGGCGGCATCGAACACTACAGTGCTTTGGCGGATGACGTCATCTTCGAGGATGCCATTACAAACGTCTACTTCTTACTGATAAACCAAAATGCTCTGAAAAGTACTATCCTAGATTGGATCGAAAAGTGGCAGGCTCTCAATATCAGTATGTTGCTAGATCATGCCAGCAATTTAATGAATGGTGAGGTTTATGTGAAACAATTAAAAAAGATATTATCTAGTCACTTGAAATTCATATATTTTTAGAAGTATATTCCTCAACTGAAGGCAATATATAAATATTTGTAATTACAATATATTAACAGCTTTTTTATATCTTTTTTAGCCACCTACCGATACATGCGACGCAATGAGCGGAACGTGATGAAGGTTCCCCGTACAATTCGTGAAACCGTGGCTGCCAAACAGCATTTTGAAAAGCTCGTCAAAGAAGTACCAGTGAAACAATCGTTTTTCATTCCGATGTTGGAACTCTTTGTCCTCCTGCACAAATATCAGGTGCAACTTAATGAGAAGACATACCAGCAGGTGATGGGATTGGAGGTGGCTTGGCTTCACTACCTTCAAGTCTTGGCAGAGGCAGATGATATGTTAGATAATGAGGGCGGAGAAACCAAATTGGAGTTGGCCAAACATGGTGAAAAGTTCAAGTTAATACTTAAAGAATTTCTGGAAGATTTCTACTCCAAATTACCCAAGCAATAGGAGATCACTCCGATTAAGAGGTTTTAATTCAATTTATTACTAATCATTTTTTATTGATGCTTCTGTCTAATCTTCCTGGTAATAATTTGGACTGTTTTATTTCGTTTTTCTTTCTTAACTCAACTTAAAATTTATTTAACGCATAGATAATTATAAACTCCGTTTTCTACTCCCTCTATAAGTTACATACAAGCTTTTTCGTTAGATCGAAAAATGCAATTCCAATCTTCTAAAGTAAAAACCACAAATCAGCTCAAATCAGCTAGTTCCCAGTTTGTGAACAAGCGGTTAAGGCTAATAAATCGCGGTGTTAAATGACTCTAACACTGTGAAAGCTCTATATTGGATGTAGGAAATGTTACTATAATATTTGGTATTGTTTAAAATCAAAGTTTACAAAACTTGTATACACATAATTTAAACCTACTTTTTATTGCTGTTAATTTTAATTTCAAATGTGCTATCAACTCAAATATATTCTAAGAGTCTATTTTTACTAACCCTAGCGTATAAACTCCTTGTGTGGGAGACAATTATGATGACTCTGTACCTTTGTATATTTTAGAACGAAGGCAATGCAAATGTATTTTTAACTAACAACCCTATACCACTTATTTGCTATGGTGACCCCCTTGACTCTGAAAACGTGTATATAAGCCCGACGTTTTGGCCTAATAAAATCAGTTCTCAAGCAATACTTCTGTATTCAACTACTCTGCGTTTCTACGAGTGAGCATCGTAAGTATGTTCTAGCAGCAAACATTCCTATAAATAATAAACTAAACTACAAACATTAAATATATTTTTAAGTTCCATTTCGTCAGCCCTATGACGTCATGCCTTTTGACTTGGTTTCGTTGAGCAACCAAATTGTCTGTTATCATTTTGATTGATTCATGGTGTGGACGGGGGACTCAGCTAATTAACAGTTAATGTGCATTTGAATCGCGGCCTCAGTCATGAACCGATCGCCGGTCAGTTTGTCACTTTTGTGGCTCGTCTACTTAGCTTTTTCCCTGCTGGCGCATAACTCAACCTTAGTGGAATCTCATCATATTTTGGGTCTATTTGTGAATGTGCATCGGTCCCAGTTGATTGTTCATTTGGCGGTGTGTCAAGCGCTTCTACGGAAGGGTCACCACTTGACTCTGGTCACCACATTGCCATTGGAGGAGCAGGAGCTTCGAGGGAATGTGACTCACATTTTGGTTCCATGGAAGCAGCCGATAGAGGAGGATCCCCAGGGGCCCTCGTCTAACTTTATTATGCGTCTGGAACGGATGTTTAGGCGCCTGGAACGTTCGGGAGATTTGCTGGATCTGCCGGAATGGAAGCAGTTCTTGAGAAGATCGCCTGATACTCCCTATGATATCTTACTTTTGGGCTATCACTTCAACGATCATCTGCTGGGAGTGGCTGCACATTTTAACTGTCCAGTGGCGATAATCACCACCCAACAGCCAACTGGGTTTGTCAACAGCATCATGGGCAATCCCGAGGAGCGTTGGTATGTCCCCCAACCGTATGATGGTCATCAGAGGAGTGGAGTCTCAGCCTGGCTCTTTGGAATTTGGGAGAAGCTCATAGAAATGTTGGCAAGGAGAGTGCTGGCAAGGATTTATAGGTATGTATGTTTCGTAAGTACAGTAGAACACCGGCTATCCGGCCTTCGATTATCCGGACCTCCGCGTTATCCGGGTTACTGAATGGGTTCGGAAAATGCGGACAAATTTGGATAAAAATACGTGCTATCCGAATTTTCGATTATCCGCGGTACCCCTTCTCCACATTACCTCGGATAAACGGGGTTCTACTTATATTTGTATGATGTGTCAAGTTAAATGTTTGCTTTTTAGTTCGCACTTTCCCGAACCCCGTTATCCCAGCTTTGAAACAATGCGTCGATCGGTTGTCCTGGCCTTAAGTAATCATCACATGATCAGCGAAGGACCTATAGCTCCAGTATTGCCCAATATGGTGGATATAGGCGGTATAGTCTTGGAGCAGAAACTAAATGAGACCTCACTGGAAATATCGGCTAGCAATCGATCGCTCATCATCTTCAGTTTGGGAACTCGATTCACTTGGCGCAAGACTCCGCAAAAGTTGCTGCAAACTTTCACCAAATCCTTTTCCCAGTATCCCGACTATGATATTTACTGGACCTACGATGGACCAAATTTGAGTGCCATCAGTTTGGATTATCCTCATTTAAAAATCGCCAAGTGGTGGCCCCAATGCCAATTGTTGGCAAGTGGAAGGGTGCGATTGTTTATCACCCATGGAGGAAAAGGCAGCCTTTCGGAAGCTCTTTATTATGGAGTGCCGTTGCTGGGACTACCTTTGATGGGCGATCAAAGATCGAACCTGCAGAGGATGCAGTCTAAAAAATGGGGCTTGACATTGCTCACTCACAATCTCACGCATTTCGAACTATCCAAAGCCATTAATTCAGTACTTACTAATTCAATTTATGCTGAAGCTATATCCAAAGCTTCGCAAGTATATCGCGATCGACCTTTGAACTCCAGTGATTTGGCCATCTATTGGATTGAATACGCCATTCGTCATAAAAGCACTAACATTTTGTACTATCCCGCCAGACATCTAAATTACATCGAATACTACTCCATCGATGTTTATTTGATTATCTATGGGGGCTTAATTTCAACGATAATCATGCTCAGAAAAATAAATCGCTTGCTGTGACTAGAAGTATCGTTTAATTGTATACAAATATATTACATAAGTAGCTTAGATGAACTTAGTCGACTTTAACTTAAGTACACTCGAATGTTGTTTGACAATACTTCTTCTGATCGGAACTGGGACTCTATTTTATGGATTTTTAACTTCGCTGATTTCACTGGCATCTTACTCTCAGCATTAATTACTATAAATTACATTTGAAGACTACAGCTGTAGAATTATTATTTTAAATGGATTTTGTATTTCAGAAGCCCAAAATATACATTTCAGATGGGGTTCATAATTGGGAAAATTAATCTTTAAATATTATAGCTCGTATCACTAACGACTAAGCATATGGAAGTTCCCATAAAATGCATTTAGTAAACCTGACTATCATTAGGATAGTCTTTCCGTCAACCGAAGGATCAGTCCTAGATTCATTTCGTTCAATGGCTCATGTGTATGTTTAAATAGTAGTATTGTATAATTAGTTTTTAGTTTATGCACAGTTCTGGATTGATTGTTTTGATTGGGGATTTTGGTTTAACTCTTGCCATGCTGGCGCCTCGACTGGAACTTTTGTTGCAGACTTAAGTTCGGATTTTGAAATCCCGGACAACGACCCTTTTTCACATCATACGGGCCGTAATTGCAGAAGGGCGGACTGATTTCTCCATTTTGTATGCGACTGTAAAAAATGAAATGTTGTTTTAAATTAGTGAACTTGAAGGATTTTTAAGAACTAGTGAATAGACGAAAAAGGGTGAGTTTTTAATCCGCTCTGAATGCATTTAAATAACAAAGATTTGTTATGTTAAGCCCCCAATGGGTCAGAGTATGAAAATGAGTTTGTCATATTTATTTTTGAACATAAATTACTTTAGAAAAAATATTTACATAAGCAAAAGTTAAGTTTAAATACCCTAGAAATTATAAAAATATGTGGGTACTTATTTCATGCTCAACTCGGAAAATTGTTTAAAACGACATCGACCTTTTTAATGAAACATTAAGTAATTTTTAGCTTCACAACTTTAATTAAAATTTAAATTTTACTGTGACTCAGTTTAGTTGGAGTTAGTAAAAATTGACTAAGGGAAGTTCGAGTTAAGGAATTTTCCCTGTACTTCGATATGATATTTAAACTCACCGTCGCTCCATCACCGAGAATCCCTCCACTCCGTTCTTCAGGCTCTTGCACGTGTTGTCGCTTAGGTGGCAGTCGCATCTGCAGCGCTGCTCCTTCCGCTCCTTTCGCTCCTTTCGCTCCCACGGATCCGTCACCTGGTCCTCCTCCTCCGCCCTCGCCTCCGGATAGGTTCCCGGCAGGCTGAAGTTGATGAAGTGCTTGGGGCATTGGCAGATGGGGCTCCGCTTGCGGCGCATTTCCACCTTCACGCATTCGCACTCCGTATGATTTTCCATTGTCTTGATTTCAGGCCAGGAATTGTAGCCGATCTTGATGATGAACACCCGCTCCACCGTTTCGTTTGACTTCGCCTGGCAGGTGAATCCCGACGCACAGCATCCGTACGTATCCCTGCACCGATGGAGAATCGTGGCCCGCGGGGAGTAGATCGTGTTGGTGTTCCTCGAGAAGTAGACCACCTCCGGCTTTGGCACCCGGCAGACGCCCTCGGTTGCCATGAACCTCTGGTGAATTCCGGCCAATCGAAGGAGGCGCGCATGCTCAGTCTCTGCGGAAGTAGTCAAAGTGTCAGTACTCGCTCACAAAAATTAAACAACATTTTGACTAAATTAAAATGTAAATACTTATATACTTATACTTAGTAACAAATCGAAAGTGTGCGAAAGTAGTCTACTATATATATGTAAAGCCGCAGAACTAAAAATCAGCAACAACAGAATAAAATAAATATTGATTTATTTTTCAAATTTGGAAACTAGGACAACTTTTAAAAATTTGATTTGTTCACAAGAATATACACCTATGTTTAAATTCGTTTGCATTCTTTTCTAAAACATGATTCGAAATGAACTAAAATAGTCCCTTACTTTATTCAAAATTTATTCAATTTAAAAGATTTTTGGAACATTTTTGTATTAAGACCTCAAAGCCTGTTTCTTGGCTTATCCGTTTTTTTTTGTTTTTGGGGCCTTGAGTCATTAATGTACTAAAAAGTTTAAACTGAAAAACTTTTGATTTAAGATTTTTTGAACAAAAACCGCTTGAATTTTTGTAAAAATATATAAATTAATAATAAACATTTTCACGTCCATGGTTTCTATGCGACTTAAAATACGGTGACGAGTTATGTGTTGTTAAAAGGAATTTTAAAATTTGTTAACAGGTAACATAGCTTATCCAAATACAATAGTTACGAAACTATGGGTACAAGTTATTTTCTTGTGTTCATCTTTTGCCGGTTTTCTACAAAATATTCCCAATATTTTTTTGCGACTGATTTAAATTTGTCAAAATTGTCATTGGTTATTTGTTAATGTCTATTATTAAAAATTATTAAATTGTTATGTCTATAAATTTATTAAATATTTTTGCGGATACTATTAACAGTGTTACATAACTAAAAATTGAATCTGCAACGCAATTCGTGGTAGCTTTTTAAAAAGACTTCTTTCTAGTCTATACGATTTTTTAAATACATTTTCAATTTTATGTGAAGCAAAGGGAACCTTGGAGCTATACAAACAAGATAAAAAAGCTGGAGGCTAAATACCCTTGCAGCTATTACTAAAATAAAATATCTTAAAAAGGGAACATACAACTATGATTGCTACAAGGGCACAGAAGTCCCCTTGTAGCAATCATAGTTGTATGTTCCCTTTTTAAGATATTTTATTTTAGTAATAGCTGCAAGGGTATTTAGCCTCCAGCTTTTTTATCTTGTTTGTATAGCTCCAAGGTTAAACAGGCTTCGAATTCTTGATTAAAATTAATACTATAAAGAAAACTGTCCCGCTTAAAACATTTTTATTATCCGTGTCTAACACCAAATAAAATAAACTTTAAGCTTTGATCCGATAGGAATTCTTTATAATATTATGTGAAGCATATTCAAATGCATCCTGCTGTTTTGAATTATCCCTCTTAACGTTTTATTTGTAAATGCAACCTTCTATAGGAGCCACATTTTTTCGCTTATGTGTGTCATTGGAATAACGAGTCACCAGGTTCATTACTTAATAGCCCACTAAAACGCTGTTCATTCGCCTTTTCGATCGGTCGGTTCAGTAAACTGGCAGGAAATTCCGCCTTGCGTTTCCAGTGCTTTTCGCGTGCGTTCTTAGTGCGATTCGGTAGCGTTTTCGATCGCCCACTGGCTTTTTGCAATGCCAACGGCTTAAGATCATTTGTGCGATCCGACTTTTTATTGATCGGCGGCTGGAGATTGCCCCTTTAAGGCCTTTTGGCTGGCTTACGTTTACCGTTGCAGGCGAGTTTTATTTATCGTCTTTTGTCGCGACTATAAAAAAGTGCTCAGAAGCGATCTTTGCATGCGGAATTAATTTTTGCTCGTCCGTGTGGCGGTCATAAAGTGGCAGCAGCCAAGCGGATCGACGAAGGGGGGGAAGTGTGCTCGCAGACCACCCATGGGCAGTTAACCAAGCTAATCCCAGATCCTAGTCTTGGTGTCCATTCATTCACCAACTGGGAGAACAACTTTCCGGCAAATCTCCAAGGGAGAGTCAACTGTTGGCTCAATGTGTAATTTTCATAAATGCTCAATGATTGAATCATCAACTTAAGAAGCACACTGGGAACGGGCGGGTGCGCATTTGTACACTGTCAAAAAAACCTTATAAATATCAATTTTAAAATATTTTCAATATTACCTTTAATATGTAACAGTCAAAATATATTTGAATCTAATGGCATTTAATTTTTGAAAACACAAATTTTGCTTCTTTTCAGTTGAGAGATAATCAATTTAAAAAAAAATATGTAAGAATCTAGTTCGTAACCAAAAAAAAAATAATTTGAAACTTTTAGAATCCCCAATGCTTAAATAATTTATTTTAGTCTTTTTGAAGAATATTCAAATAATTGTTTTATTTAAGTTGCATATCTTTTGAAAAAAATAATCTTATTTAAAATTTAAAGAGAGTAAGTTTAAATAGCCATATTATGAAGAAAAGGAATCGCTTAGCATAACGTTTTTCGCTCAGTGTATTTAAGGTAGCTGCAGGCTGTAGTGCCAAAGGGCGGAGGAGGAATTCGAATGCCTCAGAGTTTGAGGAGCTGCTTCAGCCACAACAGCCACATGAATAATTCAAGGGGCTCTAGCTCAACAATCCACGAGTACTGAAAACACAGGGTGTTTCAAGGGGCAGGGGGTGGGAAATGGGGAAAGGGATGTGCAGAAGAAAGGGGGGCGATTGCAAAGTTGTTGATGCCTGGTTTAAGGAAGGTCTGCTCGGCTGCCTTTGAACTTGGCCATGGAAATGTAGGCCAATCTTCCGGACTTCGTGGAGAATTAAGTCAAGTCGTTTTGACTGAGACAAATGTTTTACATCATTTTATTAAATTAATATCAACAATATCAATAGAACTATATAAACTGCTCTTGTCTCTGAAAATATAACACATTGGATAAAAGCGTATTTAGGATAAGACTGCGAACAGAACTTGTAGAAATTTTTTAAAGTATATAAACTAAACCTGGAACCGATTTATTTTTGTTGATGAACAGTAACATAACTGGAGACAAATCTTGTTAAATTCCGGTTCGGTATTTGTGTTCAAAAACACAAATGACTTTAAGGTATAGTAAATATGTTGATGTGTTATTTATAATATATTTGGGCTGCCTTACTTTAAACTGTAGCTAAACGCTATTGTCAATCAGTGTTGTTATAAAAATATCTAGTTACATAAAGTTTTATTATATAATACAATTTTGCAATAGAGTTTTATTGTAAAACAATTAATTGGATCATATGTAATTTCAGTTGTAAGGCCAATAAAAAGTTTCAAAATATGTAAAAAGTTTAAGTCGCTATTCGAAATGCTTTTCCACTTAAAGTTCAAATACTCAAGATTCATCCCATTTCCGGCGTTCAGTGAAATTTAAAAGTTTTTATTCATCACTAAATAAATCACCAAGAATAATCGACACTGAACACTGCCACCAGCAATAATCTCAGCTGCTTAACTAAAACAAACAACCTTAAAAGAAACAACTGCAACTGGACATACCCAATAAATTGTTGCATCATTATGCATTTACAGCGACATCTACAGACATTTCCATTGACAATTTCCCAGGCTTAGTGACACACTTTCGTTGGCTTTTGCACCGACTTCGTCCACACGCTCTTAACGGTTTCCCCAAAACATTTTTCGCGCCCATTAGGCGACAGCAATTTTCCACTCAAATGCAAAAGACGGAGAAAACGGGGGGGTTGGGTTTAACAAGACATTGAGACAGAGCGAGCTCACATTTCATTGTCAGGGGTCGGGGTCTGGGCCTAGATGTGGTTGATTCGTAATTGTCGTTACACTGAGGTTACCACGGGCATAAATTATCACAAAGCTCAGCAATAGATGTAAGGATCGAGTTCAACTTTAATTACTAAATATAAGATTCGGGTAGAAAATATGACTAATAGAATAAATAATTATTTGCATAAATATTAATTATATTAAAACTTTATTTATTTGGGATTACGATCCTTTTAAATCAGTTTTATAAGACTAAATTAAATTGTTTTTTGTCAATAAAATTTAAATAAGACTTACAGATAATAACTACACAAATAACTGTATACCTTTAAAAATATTCATATTTTTGTTCATATTTTGAAATGAAAAAACAAATATAAAATAAAAAGAGCTTTCAGTCATTGTTTAATTATTTGTCACAGTGCCTTTGTAAAGCCTAGTGGCACTAAGTTTGTAATAAAGTAATTGGCTAAATCTCTGCAAGTCTCGAATTACCTGCTCAAAAAAAACGGAAAACTAACAACATAAATTGTGAGAAGGGGGTGTGTGTGTTTGTTAAACAAGGAATCTCTTCTTTTAATTGCAATGAAAGTCAAGATACATCACTTTCATCACAGAGACCAAAAACGAAACAAAGAAATAGCGCAATAGAAAATTATGGTTTTGGTCATTATTCAACTTCTCAATGCAGCGTTTTCTCCTATTTTTCTACGGTCAGAAATTAAAGTGCGTGAGTTGAGATCGTGCCTAAATTTTCACACATCCTGTGTTGATATTTGTGCCCTGGTTTCCCATCATTCACAGGGAAAGTCACGTGCCAAAGGATAAAACAGTCATTTTCATTTCCATTGTCATAAATAACAGGAAAAACAACTGGGATTGCCTGGGACTTCAGCTACACTTGCGGAATTAAAAATATTGCTGGAAATTTTGTGAACTTTATAAGATGATGAGATGACAAAAAGAATATTTTTGAATGTCTAAAAAAGAAGTCATAAATTGACTTGTTTACTCTTTCATTTCTTTTAAAAAATACTCCTTATAAAATGTGATAAATTTAAACGAATTTCTTTTAGATTAGGTCTCACATAACAAGCAAAGAAATAAGAGTTGTCTCTCAATTCTTAATTTCTGCATATTTTAAAAACGAGATCCGTCTTTATTTATTTTCTAGCTCCTATTATTTTGACTCCAACTGTTCGCCTAGTCCTTCTCTTTTCACATCAAAGGCCATTTCATGGCGTTTTGTTTGGCTTGTTTCGCCCTTTCGCATGGTGAATCGCATAGAGTTCGCTTAGCACATTTGCTTAGCACATTTTTTACGGCCAGAACGTGATGATCATGGGCGGGCGCCTCGGACATCTATTTGCGGCGTTGATGGGGAAGGGAGACATCTTTAATGGCCCCAATGAACCCCGGCCCAGGAAAAGCTTTGAAAAGGGTAACTGGTAGCGTAGAGTACTCACTATTATACATTCTCGAAGGTCCCGGTTGCTTAGCCTCCGCATAACTGCCCATCTGATGCGATTGACTGTTCTGATGAGTTCATGAAAAAAACGGGGGAGAAAATGGAGAATATTAGAGCAATGGTAATAAATAAGGCAATGCAAACATTTCAGATTATTTTTTAATATGTGAACAAGCTCTCAGTTTATAGCTGTTATTCGTCTGCTATTTATTTTTTAAGTTACATGGCGACCACGTAACTCTGTTTCCCATTCACAGCCCGAATTTTTTGTGTCTTTCATTATTTTTGCATAATGTCCGGCCCTTCTCCCCTTTTCGATATATTTGTTCAACCATAAAGTATTTACAATGTTTTGCCATTTTTATTAAGGCGAAAACACAGTTCTGCAAACAAAAGAGAGCAGCTAATAAATTGGATTGTGCAATCAAGAATTATATAAAAGGAAAATGCTTGTATTCAATTCTATTGGGATTTAATTTTATGAACAGTTCAAGAAAAGGTCTCATTTTATTTTTACATATTGAAGTCAATTAAAGTTATCTGTTAACATTTTTGAAGCTTTAAAATTTATTGAAAATTATTATTGTGAATTATTGTGCAGTACGAATTTTCATTAAGAACAAGTAAAACATGTTTATAAAAGAAAAAAGAACAACAATAGTTTACCAAACCCATTATGCTCTTATGTTTAATTAATTACTTTTAATTACTAGACAAATAAGTTTACATAATAACGAAAGTCAAAGTTACTTCCAAATTACCCTGATATGTTATATCAGAATTTGCATAGATATTCGTCCTTTTTTATGTTTTACCCCCCTTTTATTTTTTATACAGAGAACGAATAAAAATTAAATTTAATTTGTGCATTTTGATTTATGCTCTCATGTTGTGCTCACGCAGCAATTTGATTTATTTAACAGATTTTAAACACGCCTCGCACAAGAGCCACAGCAAGCGAAAAAACAAGTGCAGGTGCAAAGGGAAAACTGCGTGCCACACCTGAGAGCACCTGAAAAGCTATCACTTACAGCTCAAAGAGCAACAGCAGCGGATGTGGGGAAAACTTTTACAATTTGCATTGCCACACACACATATTGATTTCCAACAAAGGGATGCACTCGCTTTTCCCACGTTTTCCCAACCCAAAAAGGCGCCCGAATGTCATGAAAACTAACGACATGCATATAAGTGATACATAATGCGACAAGCAGGGGCGGTAAATCGGAAAAGCGGGAGTGGCTGCCTGCTGGGTGTAATAAATGAAGTGTGCATGTAAGAAAAATGACACCAGCAGGAGCAGAAAGGATAAAGCAGCCAGGATACAACTCCATTCGCTTTCCCAGCGGAGTCGCCAAAGCGTTGAGTGAAATGGCCAGCGAAATGGGAGACGGGCTGGGGCAGAAAAATAGGGCGTTGGACCATGGGTAAATATTGGAAAATGCTAGCTCAAATGCCATTTCATTGTGATAAGTATTTAAATGCGGTTTTAATTCTGTGATTTCCTTACTACAAGATAACAAAAATATATTTTGTAATTTCCTAATTTCCCAAATGAATGAGGAAACTAATAATATATGTTTATTTATCTTATTATAAGGAAATAAAACAATTAAGACCCCGCATCAATTGCGCTTATTTAAGGTCAGAATTGTAAGAAAGTGCATGAAGGTGAGCTTGATCACAAATATTACAATACATTGGTTAAGCAAACATTCTTGTTTTGTTGTTTGTGTAATTGATGCAAAAGTTATTGACTTTTATACCATGGTGCGTTGATGGGTAGTGAGCAAATATAAACTAAAGGTTATGGTAAGTCATGACCCGCATGAAAAGGCAGCTAATAATTCACCTGTGTTTTACGGGGGTTAAATAAATCCTCTAAATGCAAGGATGAATTTTAAGAACTTAATATTTTCTAAAAGCCCCTTATAATTTTTAATTTTGTTTAAATTAAATTATTGATTTATTTTTGATATCTTTGTGTTTTGGCTTTATTTTTTCAGTTTGCTTACTTAAAGTTATTAATTTTAAAACTATGGCCGGAAGTCTTTTTTATAATTTAGTCGAATGAGTTATTATTTTATCTATTAATATAATACTACCTTTATCACTGTAATAAACCTAATAAATGTAGAAACTTCTGTATTTAAACACATTGTTTTCATTCAATTAGTATTTTGTTTTATTGAGTCATCCTAATTCCATTTCATTAATTTAGTTTGACTTGATTACAAATATCGTTTTGCCTAGGTGAATCGAGGTCATCCAAATCCGATCTGAAATCTCTCCGCCCTGTTTCCTTTTCACCCCCCTTTCTCACCTCTCGGTAGAACATTGGAGGCAATACCGCGGCTCTATTCTCGTATAACCATTTCTACTTAAGCTTCATTACGCATGCTCAGCCATGACACGGCCATTTCATCCAGGTTGGCAGTTGGTGACTTCCCCGACACCCGACTCCCCGCGGCGCCCCCCTCGAATTACCATCAATCTGCAGTGGCAGACCCAGAAGCGGGAACCGGAGCTATGGTTGCACGGAGGAAAACGTCCTTCTAAACACGAGCACATTCGCTTAAACTCCCATGAAAATTGTTCCGTAACTTATATCCATATATGAATAAATGCCAAAACAAGTCAATTTTGTTTTTAATGCCATAAATTATTAATTTCTGGGGTTTCCAAAACCCCTTAAAAATCTTTTAACACTTCATTCCAATATGTTTTGTAGAATAGGTCTTCTATTTTCTCACTGTAAACCTGAAGTTGGGATAGGGGCACAGGAATGAACACAAAAAGAGCCATTAAATGTCTGCCAGGTTGACAGTATTCGAAAACAGTTGGTTTTTTTGTAGGCCCTCTCTCAAAATAATAAAAAAAAACTCATTTGCATTTGCCTCTTGTTCTGTTTCGAGCGTTTGAAGGATGCTTTGGCCGGAGGAGAAGTTTCTTTATTATTTTTCACTCTTGTTTTTTTCCACACCTTTTTTTTTAGCCCCAATTGGGATTCCTGGCGTGGGTGTGACTTGTGTTTGGTATTTTACGAGCAAAGGGTAACAACAACAGCAGCGACAACAATAATAAAGAGCCTGTCGTGGGCTTATTCGCAATCAAAAGAGTTATGAGCCAAATGCTAATGGCGAACCCAGTACCTCGTGTTATGATTCCCCGTCCCTTACACTCTAAATCTAAATATATATTGCAAACTACCATTTAATATAGTTTTTTTTAGTAATAAACTAATTAGTAAAACTTTTTGAAAACATATTTACCATCTGAATGCAGATTTGAGGTTTACAAAAATAAGGGGAAACTTTGCTCGCATTACCCTCAAATAAGAAATTAAATTACCCTGCATGTAGAAAACAGCTAAAGAAATTTAAAACTAGTTTAAGAATACCTACAATTAGTTTTAGTTTATTTTTCGCGATTACTTTAGGATCTTGGCATTGCAGTTTGATAATTTTAATTTAGAGCGACTTTACTACATGTGACGTGCAATGTGATTTTGTTGCTTAAACATGAATAACCGTAGTAGATATACCAAATTGAGCTTTAAATATATTTAATAATGCATTATTCTATATTTACAAAACCTAACACGAGAACGAAATTTTACCCGATCTTTACTATGCTATTCAGCTATATAATATAATAATATAATATAGTCATCCGATCCGAAGGTATCAACATTAAACATTCACAGTCGTTTTTTTATGTGTTCACTGATTATGATAACAAACCGGATATAGTCATCCGATCATCCGGTTTGTTATCATAATCAGTGAACACATAAAAAAACGACTGTGAATCTTTAATGTTGATACCTTTTACACTGTGTTATAAAATGAATCAAACCATTGGCCAGTATGACAGACATTATGGAACTCACTATCCTAACTCTTATATTTTAAGTAAACGGCATGTAAGCCTTGTAATGTCGCAATAGCTTCTATAGTTCTAGTACTTTTACTTCATTTCGGAGATGCAAGTCCTTTTGCAGATTTGGTGTTCTGCTTACATTTGTTTTGTAACGAATATGAGTATGCATTGCACCAAATAGTTATATATTTTAAATTTTTAATAAAAATATCTATCGTTATGAGGTGTTTATGATTGATACTGAACTACATTTTCTGGTAGCAAGATTCAGGACCGTGGTCAAGATTAAAACCCCCTGCTTTCCCCGCCCTCTTTCCACGTTGTAAAATGCGTGACTGGGCGAAAGATAGAAGAAAGAAACAGGAGGAGCATCATCAACAGTGGCACAGACGGCGCGAAAAGTCAGGCCAACAAATTCGCCGACAACTGTGCAAATAAACAAGGGGCGGGGGTGGCAGTGGCCAGAGGTTGCGGGGTGGTGCGGGGCGAGACACAGCTTCGTATAGTACAATCCAATATTTGTTCATGCCAAAGAGAGTATAACAAACAGGGCCAACTAAATGTGCACTGCCTCCATTGCCCCTTGCCCCTCTCCCCTCTCCCCTCTCACCATCTTCAAATCACCCCGAATTCCCCTTTGGAATCCACAGCTACAAATGTGCAAGTAGATTCACAATGAATCGCTTTAGCTAAATTAAAATTTTCACTCAAAGGGGTATGACGAAATTCGTGATAAGCAACTAAGTCAATGAAGAGAAATCATTTGACTGCAGTGCAAAATTGTATTTCTGATAGATCTTTAAAGTATATTACATGTTATAATATATTTAATCAATTATTCATTGCTTAGTTTTTCAAAAGTGTAACCCTCTAATTAGATCCTGTATTTTGTATCTAATGGCGGTACAATTTTTTATTTCACTTTATTTAATTAAAACAACTTGTGAAATCAAATGTCGGAATATTTTAAATTTATGTACAAAATATTAATATTTATTAATAAACATGAAACTTATTATTTTTAAGAAATTTAGTTATTGAGAACTTTTTTATGATGTGTAAGCAAAGGTTTAATTTTGGTCTAGTCTTAAATGATTATACTGCATTCCTTTCAATATAAAGAAAAAATACAATTAATTTATTAGATATTAAAATCAAAACAATAATTTAATAAAATGTTTTTTCT